AGCACTTCCCGAAAAAAGGATATTATGACGAATCTAATGATACTAATTTATTCGCGATTCGATCAACAAATTTAACAAAATTAACAAAAACTTCAGCGATTCACTTAATTTTTTTTCAATTGCCCAATTTCTTGAAATTTTCACTCTAGTAAATTTTCAAAGTGCATTCCTCCTTTTTCAAGACACATTTCAGCTCGTTCAATTGTCTTTCTCAACACGTTTCGTGAAATTTGTGGCGTTATACTTCAAAATGCCTGTAGAATCCTTTCTTCTAAGATTTCGAGAGTGGCTTCTTGAAATTTTCACTCTAGTAAATTTTCAAAGTGCATTCCTCCTTTTTCAAGACACATTTCAGCTCGTTCAATTGTCTTTCTCAACACGTTTCGTGAAATTTGTGGCGTTATAGTTCTAAATGCCTGTAGAATCCTTTCTTCTAAGATTTCGAGAGTGGCTGGGGCTGTTGCATAGTAGACATATACGTATTGATAATCAATACGGATAATCTCTATCTGTTTCCATAGCGAAACATAAAGCCGATTTTTTAAGACAAATGACTATCCATAAGGAAAAGTTTTGAAACGATCAGACACATACTGCTTTGATTGAAAGGCTAGTAAACGTCATTGTCCACCGAAACGCATGTGTTTGATGACTACTATAATAGCGCATGGCGCATGCGTATCATGCCACCAAATCCTTATGGATATTCATTTGTTTCATATTTTTGGCTTCATCCTGGCAGCCGTTATGATCCGTATTGTTCATTAATACGTTTATGATAGTATACCATTCCTAGCACAGTCAGATCCGGTGAGCGGGCTGGCCACCGTACTGGTCCATTGGTAGTAATAACTTGATTATTGAAATTCTCTGTTACATACAACTCAGCAGCATTACTTGAATTTTTGTGATATTCTCCAAACAATAACAATATATCCACTTTTCCACTTTGAGTATACATTATTTTGACAGAAAATTGAACTAAAATTCAACGAAATTCTAGAAAATTTTACCTTCTGCTCTTGAAGCTTATATCACTGTCATAACCTAAGTGAATGTATTGTTCTCCCAAGAAGACTTGATCGAAATAGCTGCAAAACATTATGCATCATGCCTATCCTCGGCACACTTGACAAGAGTGAATACATTATTATGAAGTATTTCCATCAGTAATATTTAATTTATGTTCGTTCTTATTTGTAATCCAATCGCAAATAAATCAGTATCGTTAGATTCGTCAAAATATCTCTTTTTCGGAAAGTGCTTGTCAAAAAATGGTCGCCATTTGAAAAATAATGGCTAGACACGAAAATGTTATTTTACCAACTTGTCTCAATCATATCTATCATGATGTCACTAAAATTTCGCGATTGTAATTTTATGGTATCTTCTGAGGTCCTCAGATTAGATTACTTCCGATCTGGGCACCTAGATGTAATTTCAAAAGTGACTCCGAAAAACTTAAGTTGGCATAAAAACTTACGAAAATGTCACATTCTGATCTTGAATTGTCTCAGAAATCCAAAAATGTTACAATATACAGGGTGTTCCATTTAAAAATTTAGAACCGAAGACATTTCCGTCTCCGCAGGTAAATATGTCTGCGTGCCGACTGCAGACTTGAGACTTTCATTCATGATACAACATATTTAGAAAAAATTCAGACTATTCAGCTCAGATAGACAAAACATTTCATTCATAAATACTTCAAAAACACAATCCATGATTGTTGTAAAACGACGTAATGCGTGAAACGAAAACGGACTATTCTCTCTCTTACGGCGGTGGAATATAAAGGCAATTCTGCAATAACGACAGATCGCAAATTGAATGACTACCTGAAAAACTAAACTGAATAAGTCATTCTGTGCTTAAATAGTCTAAGATGAAGAATAACTTTGTTTTGACATCGCCTATCGCCTTTTAGTATGTACCTATTCTATTAGGTACTAATTCTTCAATAAATAATGTTATTTTTGTTGTAATTTTCTCTTCCTACTTCTACCTTATACCAAAAAAGTAGGTAGAGGTAAATATTACGTACTAGATTGGAAGGAGATTATGCATGACTGAATTGCGATACATTTGCGAGACTCTCGTACGAGACGCGAGACAAAACGAGACTGGACGCTGCGAGACAAGACTTCATATTCCATCAGCGAGACGAGACGAGACTTTTTGAAAGTTTCGTCTCGTTAGTCTCGTGTGAATCACTAATTTCTACCAACATTTAAATGACATTCATAACTTTTTTGCTCGTCAACCGATTTTTTAAATCTCAGGCTCATTTTGAAGCTTGAACTCCAGATGAAGAGATATGAAGATCAGAATTGATTCAAGATGAACATTAAACAAGGTGTCATAATTTTAATTTGCAAGAGCGCTAGATATACTGAAAATACACACTATGACCAAGTCGAGTCGTCTTCAGTGATATACGCTGCTCGCCAACAGCCATGGAACCACCCACAAAAATCATAGGGGGAGGTAGGATAGGTTGAAAATCATTTCGAAATCAAAATCAGGACGTCCCTTCCGCTTCCTCCTCCAAATTTCAGAACCCTACCTCAATAATTACGTGAGATACGGGGGTGCTTGCATGAGAAGTAGAACAAAATTAAATTTTTCTGAACTGAAAGAATGTCCAGAAAAAATATGTATCGTCAGTGATTTTGACGTCCTGATGTCAAATCCGAAGTGATGTTCAACCTATCTTAGCTCCTAATTACATTTTCCGGAAATTTGGGTGGTTCCATGGCGGTTGGCGAGCAGTGTTTATCACTGAAGATGACTCCTCTTGGTCAGAGTGTTTATTTTCAGTATATCTGCCGCTCCTGTGAGTTTCAGAATCCTGACCCAACAATTACGAAACATACAGGATGCTTCCATTAAAAGTGAGACACACTGTAGAATGTTCATCTTGAGTCAATTCTTTTCTTCATATATTTCTCCATTTGAAGTTTCAGCTTCAAAATCAGATTCCAAAAACGGGTTGACAGGGTAAAAAGTTATGACTGCAAACCAGAAAGTTAATTTCTTGAGATCACTCTTCGAATAAAAGAGTTGAAAAGACATTTTGAAAAGTATCCCTAGGTATTGAGATCATCTTCATGCCTCTGCTGGCGAAGTTGAAAAAACAAAGCCCTTGTTCGTTTATGATCCTTTTGGAAATTCCGAAGTTTTTCACAGTTTTTCATGTTTTGAAGAAGAATGAGATTATAGCTTAAGAACTGGGCTAGCAACAGAGTAATCCGAATTCAAATTGTTCAAAGCAGAAAAAAGTTGTTTGTATTTTGACAGGGGCAAAATTTTTAGTTCAATCAAATGGTGCACAAAAACAGCTTATTGAAGTGGAAAGTTCTGGTGTAATTAATTTCAGTGGCTTATAGTATGCTCTTTGATGTGCTCAATACGAATCTTGAGTTGTCCACCAAAAATTTCATCGGCTAAATATCAGAAAATTCCAAAAGAGCACAGAAAATTATGTTTTTCAATGGTTTTCAGCTTTCAACTCGCAAAGGAAGCCGTTCACACAAAAAATTAACGGGAAGTGAAATCAAGAGGGAAAAATTATCTTCAATTCATGTCTCATGATACTTTTTGGTATGTCATTTGGTTTCCATGCGAAAGAGTGTTGAAGTTTTAGTGGAATCAGTGATTTTTGGAAAAAAATAATAAATTCAACTAATTCATAGTTTTTATTCCAAATAGATAAACATATCACTGTCAAATGAAATTCTCCTCCTAGACATAGACTCAGTGGCTCCTCCAGGGTAGAGTCCCTGTATGTATAATTCCCTGTATATATTTGTCAGTCTTGTTGTAATAAGAGTACGGACACTATGACAAGCAGTGACGGAAGGCATAACCCCAAATTCTCAAAATGACTTTTGAACAAAGACATGGATATGCTTTTCCATGCCCTTCGGATCTTCTATCCTCTACTGCCGCGGTGAAGGGTACATCCATATATCTTTCTCTGTCTTTATTTTCATAAAGAAGTGGCGTCTCATCTCACTGGCGAAAAGGGGTCATAGTTTGTTAATCCATTTGTTGAAAGTATTTCTCGATATACTTAACGAAGGGTATATGTACTTGTTGGTTAGAATGGGGGAAATGGAATAAATGAAAGGACTCGCTTCCATTTTTGCAATTCTCCACTATACAATTAGACATTTTAATTTTCGAAAACCTGAATTTTCAAATAATTTAATGTCATGTACGTTCATGAACTGTCAGTGCCCGCCAAATTGTTCATGTCATTTCAAATTTTTTAGGATTATGCCTTCTGTCACTGCTTGTCATAGTGTCTGTACTCTTATTACAGCAAAAGTGCCAAATACATACAGGGACTCTACTCCAGGGCAGCTCTCAAGTTCGTATAAAAATGTCGAAGAAATCCTCAATAGGTATTGCTTTTATATCTAATTGATATATTGTTGAAATTATTGAATTAGGTCAATGATTATTTGTAACAGGCGTAGAAGAACTTGAAAGCTGCACTGGAGAAGCCACAGAGTTTGTGTCAAGGAGGAAAATTTCATTTGACAGTGATATGTTTATCTATTTGGAATAAAAACTATGAGTTAGTTGAATTTTTCATTTTTTTTCAAAAATCACTGATTCTACTAAAACTTCAACACTCTTTTGCATGGAAACCAGATGACATATCAAAAAGTATCATAAGACATGAAATGTAGATAATATTTCCCTCTTGATTTTATACCAATTGATTTTTTGTGTGAACGGCTTCCTTTGCGATTTGAAAGCTGAAAACCATCAAAAAACATAATTTTGTGTGCTCTTTTGGTATTTTCTGATATTTGCCGATGAAATCTTTGGTGGACAACTCAAGATTCGTGTTGAGCACACCAAGAAATGGAGAATAAGCCAATGGAAACAATTTCACCAGAACTTTCCACCCTGAAATACCGTTTGATTAGATTATTTGGGAGCGACGGAATAGTGTTGCGTAGTTTATTTTGATCAGGACAACTCACCTATCACTGTAACAGAAACTCCGTTCTTTTTCTTGGTACTAGCAGGCGGCGGGGTACCATCCAGGTCGCTGCAAGTACCCGAGTCCAAGGTATCGCTGGGCGACACTTGCCCGCTGGACATGTCCCCAAAGTTGTACCCGCCATAGTAAAAGAAGTTGTTCGTGACCTCCTGGCTCTGTTTCTGTATCATCTCCGCATCTGAGTAGGGAGTACTCCTGTAATACAATTCAAACTTCACTATACAGGTATAGGTGAACTGAATGCTCACTCATCAAAATTTTACTATACAGGGTGTTCCTTGATGATATGCTGATATTCAAGGGGCCGATTATTCGACCTATTGCAAGAATTAATCTTTATATGAAGGATCTCGTGAACGTCTCAAGTTTTGAGATACAGGGTGTCAGTGTTGAAAATATGCATATATTCCTTTTTTGTCCACAAAGTATCTTCTTGTGATGGCAAAATTCAGTCAACTATATGTGACTGAATCGGTATAAAAATTTCAAAATGTTACATACTGTGGTTATTCAGTGATGGATGTCCTCAGACATAAAAATTTGATGTCTGGTCTCGTTTTTCCGTTTTTTCTCGAGTACGAAGCCTTCTATCGAGTATCAACAGGAGGATTTTTTTTGCACATAAATAATAATTAATTGATCCATTTCATGTGTAGATTTGAATAAGATATGGATTATACAGGGTGTTTCAGTTTTTTGTAGCAGGACTTTAACAGCTTGAAGAAGACAGTTTTTTAAGATGAAAATCTCAAACAAACATATATGCGTGGGAGCTTCGTTTCCGATTCACAGGGTGTCAAACTTTTAGATTTTTTTTTATGTTTTTCGAATTTTCTCCTACAATTTTCGGAATAATTGATTGAAATTTGGTACACCTGAAACACTTCAAAAACTCAATATTTGGGGCTATTGAGCGTTCTTGAATATCTACAGGGTGATAGACTTTCAGGGGTCGTACCCAATTTAACCCTGTAGAACTTTTTTGCGTGCCGCCTCTGCTTTCAATGGGACATAGATTCAGATTGTCTCTGCAATTTGGAATTTTTTTGCCTCCATATATGTTTTTCGAAAACTGTGTGGATTTCGAGATAAATAAAAGTGGAATCCGAACCACTTCTAAGGGTACTGATAAAATTAGAACTGCCGTTCACCAGATTAAATTATCAAAACTCACAACACCTCAACCGTCATGAGCGACAGTCTAGCGATGTATAGCACCTAGACCGTGTATCATATAGTCCCTGATTTCAGATTTTGCAATCCAGTTAGAGAAGTTTTTTTAAAATAAAAATATTTTTTCTTCGTTTTTCCAAGTTTCAATTATAATGGTGTTCAAAGAATTCAATCTAATTTTGCAACTGTATTTCATTTGGTATGGAAGCTTTCGGTCATTCTATTTTCCAATAAAATGTTTGAGAAATGTCAAATAAGTGTGTTTGAGAAATAACGGTTTTATTACAAGTAATTAATTTATGGCATTTATCTCGAGATCCATACAGTTTTCGAGAAATGTACATGAGAGCAGAAAGTTCCCAAATTGAAAGGACACTCTGAATCTACGGCCCATTGAGAGCAGAAACGGCACGCAAAAAAGTTCTACAGGGTTAAATTGGGTACGACACCTGAAATTCTTATCACCCTGTAGGTATTCAGGAACGCTCAAAAGCCTCAAATATTAAGTTTTTGAAGTGTATCAGGTGTACCCAATTTCAATCAAGTATTCCGAAAATCGTAGGAGAAAATTCAAAAAACATAAAAAAAATCTGAAACTTTGACACCCTGTAAATCGGAAACGAAGCTTCCACGCATATATGTTTGTATGAGATTTTTATCTTGAAAAAATGTCTTCTTCAATCTGTTAAAGTCCTGCTACAAAAAACTGAAACACCCTGTATAACTGAGATATAACCGTTACTGTCAATTATAACATATTGTTACTATGCTCACATCCATATTCAGCTAATAAATATGCCTACTGGGCATTATTACATTCATTTTTCGTCCAGCCTGTTCGTGAATGCAACAGGATTCTAGGACTCTTGTTCATTATCCTCCTGGATGTTTGAATAATCTTAAAATAGTATATTATACACCTAGGGTGAGAAGTGAGTTAAATTGTTAGACTGTTGATTGATGGGACGGCAATGTCAACAGCAGCACATATTTTATAAATTCCATGACCATGATAAAGTTTTTGTATAGTTGGATGATTCCAAAGTTATTGGAGTTTTTTCTGGTTGTGGTTGGTGTACCCAGGGCACCCTCTAAGGAATGGCCATAAAAGAGTTAGATGGGTAGATATAGATAGTTTTCATTTAACTACTTTACAAGAATTACGTGTTTGTAGCAAGTCAAGGTACGAACGATTTTTCCATTATAGTGAGTATACATATTTGTCAAATCAATACTCAAAAACATACATTGAAGAACAATACAGATCAAAAAGAAACTCATAATGTGAACTGTAATAGTAACATGTATATGATTCGAAAGTCTTAAATATACCTACATGTGAACAAATGATTGAAAATTTGAAAAACGAACTATAGGAGAGCACACATCTAAAGTGTTTCAATGCAATGCCTTAAAGAGGATTGAGTTATAATAACTCATTGGTTATTGATATGTGTGTGAAGTTTGGGTTAAGTATCATGTGCTCATGTTTACTTGAAAATAATTTCTCGAGCGAATAGGAAGCATGGTGATAGTAAATGATTTTTCACCCATTTCTTGAACTGCATAAAATTCAAAGATTTCACAGCTGGTAGGATAACACTAAAGAATTTGAGTTTTAGGGAATTTTGCTCAGTGACAGATATTCTGAATTTAGGAGTTCTGTGTTTAGTTGATGCTCTCGTAGCATAGTTTTGACATCAGCTTATTTTGAGACCAAAGCTATGTTAAAAAAAGTTGCAGTAGAGTCTGGTATATAAAAACACAAGATATTGGTGAAATTCGGTAGTTTTTTAATAGTAGCTGACAGTGAGCATGGTAGGTTGCTCCTTCGATGATTCTTGATGCCTTTTTTTGAATCCCAAAAACTCTAATGGCGGGTGTTGCGTTACTTCAGAGAATAGTACCATAGTCGAAGTGCGAGTGAAAGAGAAAATGGTAAAAAAACGATAATATTAGAATGCTCAATATTTCTTCAATTGTTTCAGCAGTAATAATTCGGTGGAGGGTTAAATGCATGATTGGTAAATGTGGGCAGACCATTTCAGACCATTCGTCTAATATCTATGATACCTGAGAGGTTGACTGTATTGTTTGAAGTTAAATTCCGTGAGATAGGGTTAGAATGAGTTTCAATCAATGTCGTCTATCAGCAAATCAAATACACTCAAGGAGGTAGTGAAATGTGTCGTTAAGATAAATGATGAATAATAGTGGTCCCAGCGCACTTCCTTGCGGCACTCCGTGGCCAATGAAATGGAATTCACAGAAATTATTTTCGACGGCAACACACTGACTTTCGTTATAGCCATTGAGTGTTGTTATTTTGGTAATAAATGCAACTTTCCTGTTCAAACTGATCCTGATGCACGGCGAACTTTCACTACTCAAAATATCCACGTTCCGCTCATTGGTACCACCCACACCATTCACCAACGTCCTGGTGGTGGCCTGGCTGCGCGAGTTGATCGAGATTTTTACGACGTGGTTCCGGGGTTCCTCGGTACCGAACTGACCGCTGCCGAAGACGTCCACGAGGGACACGGCAGCGGTACCGTTGGGCAGTACCGTTGCGGAGGCAGGTTGTGGCTGCGTCGGACGCGGTTTGGTCTTCGGCGGTACCGGTGGAGGTAGATCGGATTGTTCCATTCTGATGGAGGTCAGCTGGAATGAAAAACTTGGATGAACGAATAGGTACCGTAAAACGGGGTGAATATGAACAAGTATGGAGCATTTGTTGAGAGAAATCACAAATATCTCAAATTCAATTTTAGAATCTTCAAATCGTATCTTGTTTACACATTGCCTATGTGACAACATAAATTCATCGAATCCTGCTGATTTTCTATTGGCAACACTGTTTTTATCTTTTATAGTCGAACCTAATATATGATCGTCACACCTGTGCATTGCTGAATGATCATTATGTACTAAGATAAGGAAAAAAATGAAGATATGATATAGAGAATGGGTTCAGGCATATGTTTCATTAACATGATTGTATTCAAAATTCTAGAATATCAGGGAGTTTTCATCACGTATATTTTCCAAACAACTAACTTTTTTTGTGTGTATTTGCTCGCTTCATCCAATCTACCTGATGTTTTCATTGACCCAATTTTTATGGTGCATTTCTTATTTTACCAAATTTTGAACTATCCACAAATTCAATCATTCAATGAACTTTTTTCCATTTACCTCTCAGATGGTTCATAAGCGAATAACGTGCTGAAAAAATTAATGTTTCTATTTACCTCGCCTGATGGGTGAATAGAAAATCACCACATTTCAATTACATGGAAAAAAACTGTGGGATTTTTCAAAACTCAGTCACATACCTTCTTCTCTAATGACTGTGACACACATTTTCCATATTTTTCTTTATGGAGAATGTGAATATCAACTCAGCAACACAGTCTGAAAAATCGAAGAAAACTGTTTCTATTAACCCCTAGACTAGAGAACCTGGATATTCTTCTAATTGAAGCTGATACATTGGCAGAAGGAAATATTATCATGAGTACATCATTCGGTATATCAATAATTTCGAGTCTTGAGGAATTCATGAACACTAAGTGAATTATATCATCCATTTACATTGATCTATGAATACTGACCAAGCTATTAATAGTTATTTAACCAACTAGTGTATTAATGAGGGCGATTAATGATCTTTTTAACGTGCGAGCGAAGCGAGCGCGTTATTTTTCGAGATCATTAATCGCCTTTCAATATACGAGTTGGTAACAAACATTTTCCGTCGACTATATTTCCCATTTCTCCTGCAATAAAGAAAACTTGGTTCGCGAATTCATCATTCATCCGGAACTGCTAAGAATCACCCAGTAGTCTTGTTACTGACATTAGGACATTTGACATTTATCGAAATGATCAACATAGGAAATAAATTCCTTGTGTTAGAAAACAGGCATTAAAATCATGTCAGAAATTTGGAAAGGCGAACCTGTTAATGGAAAATCTTCGATGAAATCCATATTTTCGATTTGAATGCAAATTCCGTAAGTCATAGCATAAACAATGAATACACGCGGTGTATGTTTGGTTGCCTACAAAACAATCGTGCATTAATTGACAAATCGTTCATTAATAGGGGTCATTAATGAACGATTTCATATACATTAAACTTAGTCGTTGATACGAGGTCGACGGAAAATGATGTTTATCCACAGTGAGCACGTCAAGGTCGAAACAAATTCGTTGACAGCTTGATACAACCAGTGGGAAGAAAGCTCAAACATGTCGATTTTCTCTTTTAGTTGCGCATTTTTTGGTCTCCTTATATTTCTGAAGCCGTCTGTTCGAGTTATGTCGTCAATATAATCTAGTTCAATAGCAAAATACCCTTGGCGGCTCACAATTTGTGAGCACGGGATTGGCAAACCCAAGTTACCCTGACAAGATACTCCTCAATTTTCAACTTGTATTTGATGATATCCTCTACACTATTAAGTTTTCGATCATTCCTATCAGCCTCTGTTGGCCAATTCTTCTTTTTCCTTCTAACCTAAAGCCGAGCCTGAAACCCAACCATAGTTTTGTGGACATCTGAGTGCAAAGATGAGACAATTATTGAACATGTTCTAATGAACCCGTGACGGGGGATGAATGTCACCGAGGTGATAGGTTAATTTGATCATTCGTTTTCACATCAAAGATCACATGGGACTGCTTTGAAACACTCATACATCTGGTAAAGGACAACAAAGTCACACTTATGTGGGTTCCAGGGCTTGAAGGAATCGAAGAAAATGAGGCAGATGATCGCCTTGCAAAGAAAGGTGCAGCATCTGCACTATTTGGACCTGAGCATTTTTGTGGGATAAGCAAATGTCACCTTAAACTCAGGAAATGGGAAGAAATTGAAAAGTCCTCCTACTGGAGAGCAACTCCAGGTCAACGACAAGCGAAAAGGTTCATCAACCATTCGCAGATCCGAGCAAAAGAGCTACTCAGCCTCAGCAAACCAGAACTGAAGCTTATCACAGGCTTTCTCACAGAATACGGCCCTCTGAGGTACCACCTCAAGAAGATGGGCCTGTCGGAGACTGACACTTGACGCTTTTGTAACAATGCGACCGAAACCGCGGAACACATACTTTGCTCATGTGAAGTATTAGTCCGCCAAAGGCTGAACCACCTAGAACAGGTCTATCTCACCCGTGCTGAGGTGGAAAATTCAACCGTCAGGAAAATTGTAGGCTTCATCAGAAGTCTAGGGTAAGAGGACCAAAACTAGATATGGGTAATCACAATAGATCTTCTAGGTCGCAGTGATCGAGAGGTCTCCTAGCCTATACGACCCATCTACAATCTACAATCTACAATCTGATTACAGAACTGTTCAAGAATCGTTCTCGAACTGCGTAGAACTAGTGCGCAGTCGTTTCGAATCCTAAGACTGTTTCAGAACGGTTCACAAATTATGAAAACCCGAACGCGGCAGACGAGAACATCTGAGAACATAACCTCTATTCAGAACTTGCGAAAAACAAAATAGTTTGGAACCTGTATCTTTATTCGAATAATATTCTAAAGCTTCAAACTCTCCTTCGAGTCTATTCACAATATCTCTGAAAACCCTCTGTGGAGGAATGGTGAATATATTCCATTATATAACATTCGTAGCTAGATTTTCAATATGTTTTGTCCCTTGTACCTACATGAGTTTTGACACCCACCTGAAATGTTCAATGCATTGTGTATCTGAGTATAATGGTAGGCAAAGTATCCCCAATAATACCCTATTTTTTGGATTGTCTTACAAAAGTTCAAGAATTCTCAGATTAGGTAAAATATTTTCAGCAACTTCAGCAAATAACTCCTTCACCACTGCTTCCTGAAGATGAAGAACTACTACTATCAAATGAATGTACTAACTCCATAATATTGAGAAAATGTTTGGAAAGAGCGATAAACAGGAGAATAAACAAAAATATATCATCATGACGTTACGCTACAACAGACAGAATCGAAAACTAAATGAAATCAGTCTGCGCTAAAAATAATCCCAGGACGGTTCACGCTCGAGAGCAGGTACTGGTTTCGGGAAGTTCTTGGACCAGGACGATTTTGAAAAAACCCGAACGCGTAAAGAGTCAGTCCTAGAACACGTCCACAAAACCCGAACACGACCGATTCTACTGCGCAAAATCCTGACAGTTCTATACCTTTTCAACCTCAATTTCGGAAAAAGTAATCTCGATTTCAGAATTGGTTAGTTCGATTTCAGAAATGGTGAACTCAATTTCAGAATCGGTGAGATGAATTTCTGAAAAAGTCCATTCAACTTCAGAAGTTTTATTTCAGAATTGGTAGGTTCAATTTCAGAAAAAAAATCCTTATATTTGTTCGAAATGTGTCCAATTGTATGTGAGATTAACAAACCATATTTACAATATTCAACTCGTCAAAAACAATTCAATAACATAATTATTATCTCAATTTAATCCACAGATGCCTTCCATCCGAATTGCTGGAAGATAATAGCGTTGCACATGATTATGAGAATGCAAACACATTTGAGGTGTTATCATTTTCATTAAATGATCTGCACATTCCTCAAGACATCGCAGTCTGAATTCTATCTGGTTGAGCAAGCTGTTCGGATCCCCAGCTATGACCCTTTGGCGATGCTCTTGCAAGAAGCTCTTCACTTCTGACTTGAAGGGTATATATGTTCAATCTGATTCAACATAGGGCTCTCAAACACCGTTCATCCACTGTAAACAATCTTCTCTTTTGCAATTAAAAACATTTCAAACATAAAAGGATTTCATCTTCTGAAATTGAACCTACCAATAATAATTCTGAAATACAACTTACCATTTCTGAAATTGAATGGACTTTTTCTGAAATTCATCTCACCGATTCTGAAATTGAGTTTACCATTTCTGAAATCAAACTAACCAATTCTGAAATCGAGATTACTTTTTCCGAAATATAACTTACCAATTCCGAAATTGGAGTTAAAAAGGTATAGAACAGTAGGTAATTGTTCGAACCCGAATGAACCTTATATCGATAACGGGACCTCAGCTCTGTGCAGGGGGCACTACAGTGCTGGACCAACCTATTCCTTCATCACTCGTAGAAAAAAGACAATATTTAACAAATGTTGGCTTTCTTCATGGACAATATCAGGGCTCGAAAGAGTAGTCTTCAGGAACCTGAACGAAAATGTTACTTCAAACAAACCTCTAGTACTGTGAGCGGCAACGCTTTCAGTTATTGTGATGGCATTTGAAGTGGCCCTGATATAAAAACAATTGGTCTTATATTATGATAAAATCAATTACGGGATATTGGGAGTTTGATACAATAGGCCTAAGTTTCATCAAGGACTTTGGTCAGACGAACCTTATAATGATCTGATGGTATGTATAAATTGACATGATCTATACTTCTAAAATATTCAAAACGATGCGGCGTTGCCGCTTCTACTTGAAAGTATCACCAACTTTGATATTTCGAATAGAACACCCTGTATTTCATTGCATTCAGAGATCATTCCTGGAGACCTGATATTTCTCAAATTAAGGATTTTGTTGTGTCAAACCGGCTCACATGTCCCTTATATCTCAAATCCTAGATTTTTATCTGATGACATTTAATTTGAACAAGATTCAGAA